ACCCTCCCCTAACCAATGACGATCGCAGTCACAGCTTAAATTAAACGGGCCAAGCCTGGTATCAGAAAATAAAAAAAACGTTTGACCTAGAACATTCAATCGTGATTAATTATTTTCTTTTTCTTTTTTAATAGGCAACATCCATTCTGTAAAGCACTAAGCAGCCACAGTTCTCTTTGTCTTCAGAAAAAGACAATACGAAAGAGGACAATATCTGGCAAAGGAAAACATGTCTGAAAAGCAAAAAAGAAAATTATTCTTTAAAAAATGAGAAAAGGTTACAAAGATGTTTCACCATAACTTATTAAAATCGTTTTTAAAATATTAGGTTAGTCAAGAAGTTGCAAGGCTTATAAGGCTGTTTTCTATGTTGCTCACGAAGTCAGAAGTTCTGGTTTAAGAACTTCACTGTTCCAGTTTCTGTGACGTAGAAAAGGACTGGGGGTGGGTATGGTTGTCCCTTTAGCGTCAGAGATATAAGTTCTACCTAGCACTTCAGACGTAGATAGATAGATAGCTATAACACCTTTTTTACACCTTGTTATATAAACGCAAGAACCAGTTGATCTTATTATTCAGTAGCTGGTCTGTGAGCAAGATTTTGAATCTTTAGATCGGATATACTTGGTTGCATCGTAAGTGTTCCAACGATTTACCAGTTTTCGAACAGCTTTTGTTCTGAAGTGCCAATAAAAATAATAGCAATTTTGTACTTCTTTTCAAATGGTGTGTTTGTGAAATGATTACTTTTTCCATTTGAAAAAAAAAAAAAACACGGTTTAAGTTTGACTTCATTTTGGACTTCAAAACATCTTCTCTTAAAGATATTCTGCAACTTTTAAGAAACAAACCGCAGGTGAAGTTTTAACCACAATGTGGTTTTGAATAAATTGTGCATTTTGCTAGTCTCATGAGTTGGAGTAGAGGTGAATTTAATGTTGTAGATTCGAATGAAAATGTGTAGATCTACTTTTGCGCACTCATATTGAAAGATGATTTTTCTTTTTGGGGGAAGAAACGTGAATTGCTTAGTGAGAAACGGTTTAAACTTGCAGTCTTGTGTTACCATATTAAAATGATATTTTAGATCTATCGACACTGGATAGAACGTGCTCCTAACAAGCAATCCATTTCTGGGGCTGTGAAAAACAGAATTAAAATAATAAAATAATGGTAAACTGTAATGGAACCATTTGAAATCATATTTTTTTAAATGTCGTTGCTTGCACAATACAGATTTTAAAAAATAACCTACTTCTGGGGAAAAGTCTTTGATTAACCCCCCCC